GGTATCTACATCACTGACATCTGGAAAAGAATAGCAGCAATAACCAGTTTCTTTCCACCAGTTTATTGGATGGAAAATAGCTCAGCATAATACGTGCAAAAACTACTCATAAACCTTCCAGTCTACTACCTTAACATAGGCACTAAAGTGCTGGAACAGCACACATATTTTTATCTTATCTGGTCATGCTCTAGTTGTAAAACTAATAATGAAAATAAATAAAATTATAAAATATACAAGATATGCACAAAAAAAAAAAAAGGTAAAAGCAGACATTTACAGCAGACTACAAAGGCTATTTCCATAGAATTTTCAAGCAGAAACCTCTTTAGACCTTTTAAGAAGGTGGAAAAAAATCACTGAAGTGAGAAAGCATTCCAGAGCTGAGGAACTGAAAGTCTCTGTATCAAACCCATGGTCCCTCCATTCTGTGAATGTGAGCAGACAGACTGAATCCACGTGGATTTTCAGTAACATCAACTAACTCCATGCAGGCATGAAGGTTTGCCCACAGATATGAGGCTCTGGAGTTGGTATTAAAGCAGGAAAAAATACTGTAATGGGTAAAATTCTAACCAGAATTTTTTAAAAGCTACCAGAAACCCTCTACATGTTACACTTTCCTATAGGCCTAGTGCCCACTTTCATATATATATATATATATGTGTGTGTGTGTGTGTGTGTGTGTGTGTGTGTATATATATGCATGCTGTGAATAATTCCTTCCCCTAGAATATTACATATCTTACTTTAAAAAGTGACAGAAAAAGCTATTTCTGTGACTCTAATTGAGGATAATTAACACAGTTTCAACATTTTTGTCCTAACATAATGAACCATTCACTGTTCTAATGTTGGACATTAGAGCTTTGATATTCTTCTCGTCTACAAGAGTACTTCTGTTTGAATTATCTCAGATTGTGTGATGATATGAGAAGAAGTTATCAGACCTTACAGACCATGTAATCCCAGTTCTGGCATAATTTAGAGTTCCTATAGGGCATCTCTGTGTTATGCCAGGTAATAAGAGCTCAGAGACTGCAGAAGCTGCAAGACAGAAAATCAAGCATGAATGTACTCCAAATCCACCTCTAGTCCTCAGTGCCAGAGATGCCATATCAGATGCTCAATACATAGTGAAATTCCTGGACAGATGAGGGGGTTTTCACACCATCTCAGTTGTTCACCATACAGGATTTATGGCACTTGCGTGTTGCCAAATAGGCCACAGAAGTTGCAACTTAAAAGGGATTTGGCCCCATGTGCCCTGACAATATGGCAAAGGATGAAAACACTTCCAAATAACAGACAGCTTTCATCCATGTAAGCCAAACCAATAAGAGATAGTAAATCAATTCATAGGAAGGCACAAATATGTTGATCATGCCAGTTTTAGAAATCATTTTCTTGATGCATTAACAGAAAAATGTACATGAAACCTTCTTAATCAATACTCAAAACAACTTTATTTTCTTATTTAAACCAAGAATCCTAGCTTTATTTTTTCTTGAAATTGATTGTTAATATTTAAATTCACAAAAAACCTTCCTTAAGGTTCATACAAATGATTGTGTAAGAGAGGTGACAGCCACCTGAGAACATTGAGAACACTGATGCTAATTCATATTCGGTGGTATTATTACTCAGGAAGGAAATTCTGGACATCATACAGCAACTACTATTTTCTTTGTATGAAACCAATATAATTCCTGTGCCAGGAGTATCTGCATCTTCAAAGGAACAACATCCAGTGAGGGCTTATTCCAGCATTCTGTCTGCAGGACATCTTCACTTCCTCTGCTCTGCGCTCCTTCTATGCTGAACACTATCATTAAAAGGACAAAACCTCAAAAGTCATAACACAAATAATGACTATTTTTCTCAGAAACTACAATTCAAAGGACTTAATATGACTTTGAAGGAAAGCAAGGGCTTTCCTTTCTGTCTGAAGGACAGAAATGGTTTTTGTGGTCCTTCAGCCTGTTTGTATTTCTCGTTTGCATCTGCAGAAACAAGCAATTCCAAGTAGCAAAAGCCTTAATTCAGTATGGCAAGAAAATAAAAATATTCTGTTCCCAAAGTTCACAGACAATTTATTTCCCAAACACATGGAAGAGCCAGTAATGAAAAAAAAGCAAAACAATTTCTAAATCTCAGTATCATTTCTTCCAAAACAGTCAATCTCTCACACACACAAGTAACTGATTCATAAAAAAATTTAAGTATAAAATATTTTTAATATATATACACACACCTATTTTTAATAGATTAAATTACTTTTCATATACTAAGTCTCCAAGAAATTCATGAATTTAAAAGACACCAAAAAGTCAACTGTATACCGTCATCATTACTTATTTTAAATAAAAAACCAGCACAAGTGCTACATTCAGCATAATTTATACTTAAATATTTTATAAATATACAGCAAAAGACATAACACTGAACCTGTGTTTAATAAGTTTATTAATAATGATTAAAAACTTAATAGTGTTCAATTCAGTGAATGACATTATCCCTTTGAAGAGCAGCCCCTAATAGGTCCTAATCCAAATAACCACTGGAATTAGCAGGAGAAAGATCACAGGTTTAAATAGACACTGAATCAAGCATTTGCTAATGTTCAGGAAAGATCCGTGTACAGCAAACCTGTCTGGAGTCTTCACTGCTGAAACAGCTTAATGAATAAGAAAGGGAAAAAAAATAGGAAATACTGCCACATTCCTCAATCCACATTCCAGTAATTTGCAACACCAGTGCTCAACTAGTCGGTTTGTAAAGTAACATGTTGAATGAATGACCAGTGCTGAAGTGCTAAAATACATTTGCAATCCTGTGCTGAGGCAATCCCTTAACAGGCTTCATGACAGCTCCTACTTGCACTGTTATCCAGACATTCCAGCTAGATAATTTGCTACAAAACCCAGTGTAAAAAGGATAGCAGAGGCAACATACAGAGCATTAGTGCCAGTCAGATATCTACAAATCTTAATCCTTTTTACTCAGACGACAGATAGTGAGGATTCTTGAAAAAAAACAAAAACCCCCAGGAAAAAGAAAAAAAGAAAACAAGGCTGAAGCATGTATACACCCTCTATGTGGTCAAAATTATCTGAAACCACAGCTTTAACCATGAGGCAGAAGCATTTCACCATTCACTTAGTCCCTTTATTCCCTCAAAAAAAAAAAAAAAAAAAAAAAAAAAAGAATAAAAAAGAGAAAAAGCAAGCAGCCATGGTGTGAGTGTGCACAGTATCAGGAATTAGTGCTAGAGGGAGATGGAGAGCGATGGGAGCCCTGCAGGACTGATCCCACTGGCTCAGAAGCCTGAGCTCCCCTGTCTGAGGAGGAAAGGAGGGCAGGAGCTCAGGGAACGCTGACAGCTAAATGCACGGCCACAGCAGCTGCACAGAATGGGACAGCTTCTTTCTGTCTCAGGATATTAGTGTCACCATGGCCAAGAGAGCAATGAGCTGCAGTTTGCTATTCTCACTGTGGTACTTTCAAAAGTACCTGATTTGAGGAGCACTGGACAGGTGGCACATTACACTGGGCTAAATAGCCAAGTGTGAGATTTCAACGACAAGAGGCAGCAGGTTTTGCTGTTCTAAAAAGCCAAAGAGCGAATTTTTCTGCTGGTACCGATGGGCAGGAGTGGAAGGTCAGCCCGCGGTGCTGGCAGTGTCACCGGGTGCCTGGTGGCAGATGGTGCCAGTCTGCAGGGATAAAAGGAAGGCTGACGCACACCGGGGGCTGACAGCGATGCTGTTTGCTCGGGAATAAAGGAGCTTTGGGCTAGGTGCAGGCAGGACAAATGACCAGGGATGCTGAGCCCCCAGCGTTCCTGTGTGCCCAGCCCAGGGCTGGCAGGGTGGATAAACCGGGAGGTGCTGCAGGAAGCACAGTGGGGCTCCCAGCTGCCAGGGGGATGCTGCAGGTGCTACTGCCTGGGGGCTGTGCTGGGACACAGCCCAGGCCAAGCTCTACATGGTCCCAGGAGAGCTTTGGAGCTGCCTCTCCCTACGGACATCCAGGCTGAACACTGAGATGGCACCACCAGCAGTGCCATGCCTGTGCTGCTCCTGCTCCCATTCTGGATTATGCAATGGCTGGAGGGCAGAGACAGCCTGTGGGAAGTGGAGCAGTGGGAGATGCAGGCAGCCTGCACCCCCATGGGCTTCCCTCAAGTGTCCCAAACTAGAAAACTGCCCACCTGCCTCCTGCAACGTAATTATTCCAGCATGACCAACAGGACAAATTGACAAGGGAGCTAGGGCTTTTGCAGTCAAAGAGAGTGTTTTCTCCAATAATAAATTGTTCCAATCCTTTACGCTAGACCTAGCCATGCCTATTCATTAATTGGACAAGCTCTGGTGACAACTGAAACGACCTGACTTTCTACATATTGAAGGGAAAGCGATCTTTGCAAGCTTAAAATAAAGCTGTAAATCCCAGCCAGCACAGAGCTCCCTGAATGGGGCTTTTTTTTAAAGAAAAAAAAAATAATTTTCAGAGCACAGACACAATAAAGCTCATTTTAAAAGCAGAGACACTTTACTGTTATCCCTCCCTTTGCAGACACTGCACTGTGGCACCAGAACATAACGACTCCATCAACAAACCACAAACCCTTCAGGATCTGCACATCAGCCAAGTTTAAGAACTTCAAGAGATATGAAATTCTGGGATCATGGCAATGTTGCAAATAATTATCACAATCAGGTACACTGGGAATTACAAACATCTCTTTTATCAGTACACCGTATTGTCTATTGCAACCAATGAATGACAATTAAGACTCACGTATTGGAATTAAGGGGGAGAGGAAAGTGATGAGAGTCGGTTTCTGTCACAACCCACTCACAGTACATCATTCATGGATTTTTCAACTACAGTTTTGATCTGTTTAACTGTTCCCCTTGCCCCTTAATCAGGGGACACCCGGGAACCCTGTGCGGTATCTCCCCCGCTCCCTCGCCCTTTCTGTGCTTGCTGCATACCTGAAATGCAGACGATGAAATTCGCTTGCAGAAGAAAAAGCACCTCCCAAACAATTTCCATCCTCCGATTCTCATGCCAAGTGCATCCCTCGGCGAAAAAAAATAACAAAGATCAATATCGCAGTTCGAACGATCCCAGCAAATTTCCTTTCGGACTTGCAGACTGTATTCCCCAGATGTGCTGACAACACATGTCCGAGCTCTCTCTCCACACGGCTGAAGTGCGATCCCTTCCCTTCCTTCGCCCTCCAAAAAAGACCACGAAGCCAACTGCCAACACCGGGCTCTTCCTCCTCGAGCGAGCAAAAATTCCACCAGATTTCCCAAAACGACATAGACAACAAACCCAACCGATCCGATATCCGGAGAGTCTCAATTCCAGGGGCGGCCAGGCGCGAATTAAGCCCAAAACTCTTGGCACGTCTCAGCGGGGCAGTGCCGGCATGCCGGGCAGGGAGGCGGCGGAGGGAGGGGGATTCCCCCTCCTGTTGCTGCTGCTAGGGAAGGAGCGGAGAGAGATTAACGCGGCCGCAAGCGCCGCCATCCGCGCCGCGCCCGGAGCGCGCAGCCCGGCCCGGCCCGGCCCGGCCCGGCCCCGCCGCAATCCCGGCGCAAAGCCGACTGCAGGGGTCGGGCTTGCCCCGCGCACCGAGCACCGAGAGCCGAGCACCGAGCCGGGATGGATGATGCACCCCGCACCCCCGCCGGGAGAACGGGCATACGGCAGCGGAGGAGCGGTGTGGGGGTGTGTGTGGGTGTGTGTGTCCCAGTGCGAACGGCACCAGTGCGCAGTCCGCATCCAGCGCGCACCGCCCGGCGGCTTGGCTGAGCACGCCGGTATTTTTTTAAAACTTATTTAAACAAGAAGGAAAAGAGATTCAGACCCGAACTTCCGTCGGGTTGGTGGCGGAGGAAGGGCACACCGGGAGGTTCGCACCGAGAGTTAGAGAAGTGCCCCCCGCGCTGCAGTGCGTATCTGATGGCATCCCCGGGTACAACAGTTCTGCATCACTTCCACTCCCGCCCCCGGCCAAACCAAAAAAAAAAAAAAAAAAAAAAGCAGCGGAGTTTTGGGGCAATCCCTCACTTACCCCCAATTATCCTCCTGGTTTTTATCTCTCCCAGCTCACCGACGTGCCGCTCCAGCCTACAGTCCCAAAACCAAACCGAGGTCAAGCCGCGAGCCGCCGGCTGCCACCGCCTGCCTCCAGCTCAGCTCTCGGGAAGTACCATCGCTGCTCGGAGCTCGCCCTGCCCGCCCGGACCGCGGCTCCTCCGCCACGTCCCCGGGCTGCCGCCGGTGCTGCGGGGGCCGCGAGCGGCAGCCGCGGGCACGGCGGGGCTGCGGCGGCGGCGCGCACGGGCGCGGCGGGGGCGCGCTCCGCCGCGGGGGCGGTGCCTGCGCGGGCGGCGGGGCCGGGCCGGGGCCGCGCTGCACCGGGACCGGGACCGGGACCGGGCCGAACCGCGCCGGCCGGAGCGGGGAGCGCGGGGAGGCACGCCCCACCGACTGCCCGCGGGGCGCCCGGCTCGCTCCTGCATCATTCCAGAGGATGATGCTCACTTGTGTTTAAATGTGCGGCCGGTTTGATTTTGCTCTCCCCCGCTACCCCAGGCATAAAAAAAATTAAAAAATAAAAATAAAAAGAGGCGCACCTGGCGCGGGGAGAGCCTGGTTCCCTGGCTGCGCATGTGGGAGTGGGCACAGCAAGGCAGCGCTGGCCCCGGGCCGCGGCGCCCGGCGGGATGCTCGGGATGCAGAAGGGAGGGACGGGGGCCCAGGGCAGGTGGGAGAAGGTGCAGCCGCTTCCACTGCGGATGCCTTCGATGATCACGACAAGGGGGAGGGAGAAAGATGCTTTGGATATCAAACTGATCTCCCAGCTCTTGGCAGGTGTGCGGAGGTCATATTACAAACCCTCCAGCGGGGGATGCGTGCAGAATAGGTTGAAAACAGATTGGTTTGTAAACCGTTCTCAAACCTGGGCATACTTCTAAAATGCACCTTTGTGTGGATTCTAGCAAAAGGAAGATGTCTGGATCTCTGAACGGGGAAGGAAACCATCTTGAAGACAAGAAACTACAGGGCTATGTTATTTTCCAGAGTCTCTGAGAAATGTGCGGAACTCCCAGGTTTCAAATATACCTGATGGCATTTAATTGTGGCAGATCAAGAAACCCTTGAGTGCTTCAGAGCAAATGGATGGGACAAAATCATCACTGTTTTGAAAGGAAGAATTAGACTGTAGGCACTTAATAGTCAGTGTTATTCTTGTGTTCATTTTGCTGGTTCCCAGGGTAGTGCAAGTGCTATTTGAACTGCAGCAGTCTCTGCTGATGTTTACTCCATCTCTTCTTATGGCTTAAAAAGACACTCAGGATTCTATCAAATCAATTGCTATTATCTGCCCAGTGAGAACAGTGAGGCTGGACATGAAGCATTGTCATTCAGGGCTTATGGACAAGAATTCCCATATGTATTGATGGACTTTTCTTAAGCAGTGGGGCTGTGCAACAGGAGGGAATCCTTTCCCTGATGGGTTTGCAGAGTGCTGATTATCATTATAATATTTAAGTTTTAAGTATGCAATTCTCTTCTTTAGGCCTTATTAAAACCCAGATTAATATCTCCTGTTCTGGGATTATAGAAGGTACGAGTGGCATGATCTATCTCTAGTCTAGATGTATGTAAGTATGTTTACTAAACTCCTTTACTCAAACAGATTAATGTTTTCCATGGATTTGCCTGTGAATTCTCTTTTGGGTTTTCTCAAATAATTTGTTACAATACCATCCCAATCTAGAACATAATAAACCCCTACAGAGACCTTGTCTTTTATATGTACACAGTCATCCCTGTTCCCAAACTAGTCTCCTTGAAATTATGGCATTATCTGTGGGGAAATAAATGTCTCAAGCAAGTGAGATGACCTGTTGTAAAAGGGTGTGTTGACCACTAGGTCAGCAAAGAACTGAATTGGTGATGAGAGAATGCCAAATGCTAAGGGCAAGCTCATGTTTAATTCCTACTCATGATCAGTTGGACTTTAATATGAATTTAATGGCAGAAAAAAATTAGGTAGTTGATGTTGGCTACTAGCAGATAGCCAAAATCCCCAAATATATTAAATTTTGTGCATGTTTTCAGTAAGCTTATCATCCTCATGCAAACCTCATAATTATTTCAGTGACATGTGATAAATAAGTGGTTCATGACTCAGACTGAAAAATCTGTGAGGGATCAAAGGCAACTTGAAAGTTTCCTTCACCTGGAAAATATAGTAGTGAACTTCCTCTCCACCTAAAACACTCCTTGCCACCATGAAGAAAACAGCTTTGTAATCTGTGGCAGTATTGCTCTGTGAAACACCAAAGAGAATATATTCTATATTTCTGGCATGTTACACAGAAATCATCCATTTTAGAACCTCCACCACTGGACAAGTCACTTCATCAATATCAATGTCAATGCAAAAGTAAAGGTCGAGATTAGGAGGGATATCTTTAAGATGTCAGTCAGAGTTCTCCTTGAAAATTCTGCCTGCAGCTGCTGTTCTGTCTGAGCTGAACAGTTCAGACACATAAAACAAACAAGAATTGACCAACAAGTTTAAGTTACTCCCATTTGTTTCAGTTGTTTTCCCCTGTGCAAGGCATTCTTACATAGACTCACTGGTTACTCTCCCCCAGAGATCCAGGAGCAAGTGGAGGGCTTCATAATTTATGGATGTAGTTGGGAATTACTTTGAAATTACAGTATTTTGGGGAAGGCTCTGTAACGATTTAACTGAGCTGTAGTGACAGGAATTGGTAAAGAAGGGGACTGGAAGACCGGGGCAAGGAGGCAGGTCTTGTTATCCCAGCCATGTGTATTAATAGTGCTCCAGTAAGTGAAATATTGCTGTATTTAGTCTGTTTGGGGACAAAAAGAAATAGGCAGTAGAGGATTTATAATAGCAACCATTTTCAGTGTGATTCACGCATCCAAATCCTCTGGTTCTTGTTCAACACTCCTGTGGTTTTTTTGTCCCACCTATTAATGTGTCATGGTCCAGCAAACAGTGAAGTCATCCTTTTAGACAGCCTTCTGCAAGGGAATTAGTAACATATTTTTGTTGCTAGATTAGTTATAAAGGGTTGAAACATTAATCTTTTGATCTGCATCCTGTCTTGTGCTGGTTGATCATGTCCACAGTAGTACAGCACAGGAGAACACCAAAGCCTGGACTAGGAACATCTTCAGGATGAGAGATTTCCTAAGTGCAACAGGAAATTCTGGAATTAACATGGCAATTCCTTGCAAATTCCTATCAGTTCCTATCAGTTTAAAAAGGAATGACTGGGAGCTCAAACCTGTTGAAATGTCTACAGTCAAGGCCATTGCTCCTGATTTTTCTGCACTGAGAAACAGTCTAGATGTGAGAACATGAAATGTGCATGGAAGAGTGTATTTTTTCTGTCTGCCTAAGATATACTTGTAAAATATCTGTACTGTGTATAGAACTTATGTTTGCTTTAACAGAGATAAATCTGAATTTCAGATTTCAACAATACATTTCCATTCAAGTTTTAATTTTAAGTTGAAATACTCATTTTATTTGTGAGGCTGCTTTCAAAAAATCAAATATTGCACAGGGACAACTGGAACAGCTGGGGTGGAACTGCCTGCATAGATGAGATGCAGAAGGGCAGCCCCACTACAGTATTTTCTGGTATGATAATTAATTACCTTTTTCTTTAGCAGAATTGTCAAATATGAGCCTTTAGATGCTGCAGGAAGCAAAGCTGTCACATGCATTCTATTTGCATCACAGAAAAAGATTTCAATGAATATGCCTTGTAGAATACAAGTCCTTCATTCTAGAATCTGTTTCCTATAGACATTTAAATCACAGATGGTACTAATGAGCTTCTAGCACAAGACTTATTGTTATATGGGAAAATAAAACTGAAAAGATCTCTGTTCTTTCTCTCTTTTTTTTTTTTTTTCCCCACCCAGAAAATAACTCAGCTTTGCAGAACTAACCTGGCTCTTGGCGCCAGGGCATTTGCACTCTGCTTGGCTGAGGCAGTTTTTTCACCTGTGCTTTATTTCTTCTGCCTGCATCCAAATCCTCTGGTGTAATGGGTTCAGAAGTAAAAAGTCCAGCACAGCT